TCTTATCTGGGGACCCTTGATGTTTAACGTTCTTTTCTTGGTTGTATTGTCTTCTTAATAATGGTTTAAAGCTTTAAGTATTCAAATAACTATAATTATCTTTGCTTAATGGACCCCCAGGAAATGCAATTGTTGAATATTCCATTCAACTATATGGGTTTCCACCATGATTTAAGAAAAATGGTACACTATTCTATCTGCCCTGGTCTCAATAGGCTCAAATTAAACAGCTTTGCACCGGGATGAAAACACGGCTAAGTTTTGACCCATTGCTTTGAAAACACGATTGAACCATGCTAAGGTTGTACCCAAAAACCCCAACAAAGTAGAAGGCTCCACACAAAATTTTGTTGACAGAAATAAAAGGAAAAAAAAATTTTTTTTGAGGTGAGATGTACAGTATTAGATAACTTTTGACGCTGTTAAAAACCAATTTTAAAACTTCCTTGAACAAAGAACAGCTTGATTGTTTACTTGCGAATATCGCGCAAGCAATTAATAAGTCGCATCAGAAGGGGGTCTTCATCTTTTGTTGGTATAAAGTGTACATGAATTTTCTTACGGGTCATATATGGATATTATTCTTTTCCTCTTTTGGTGAATATATAAAAGTGCAAAAATTAAAAAGAGAAAAGGTAGCCTACCCTAAGTATTCTAGTAATAATTATAGTATATCTACATACCGTTAGTTCAGTTTAATATAATGGGTGCTCATCCGGCACTCATTAAAATATATTTTAGGTATTATATTTTTTAAAATATAAGATTAATTAAGAGAAGTAAATAAATACAAAGGAACGTAGGCAACATTCAATAGGAAAAGTATATAAATGCAAGAGACAATAATAATTATTACAGTATATATATATATATATATATATTTTTTTTTTTGCATAACGGCACATCTAAGCTAACCTATCTTACTCCTACTCCTAAGGGGGAGCCTATTTTATGGGGTGGCCCAACTGAGTCGGAAGAACCTGACGGGGATTAGGGTTGCAAACGAATCGAATCGAGTCGAGTTTTGATTTAATTTTATCGAACTCGAACTCGAGGTCGAGTTCGACGAATTGACAATTTTGAAGTTCAAGCTCATGCTCGAAATAATAAAAATAATTATTTTTATTTTTTAAAAAATAAATAAAATAATATTTTTTCTTAATAAATAATAAAATATTAAGAATATTTATATAATTTTGCTATTAAAATGAATATATACATATATACTCGAGCTCGCGAGCTAGCGAGTTTAATATTTTGAATTCGAGTACTCGATATTGATCGAGTTTGAATCGAGTTTGCACCCCAAACGGGAACTGAATCACCATCAGACCAAACAGGTGCACCACACACCCGTATGGATTTAGAACAAATCTCATATTGAGGCACATCAATGGGAGACAAGATTTAAACCCTTGACCTCTCACCCCACAATTAATATGGTGGCCAACTCTTCAATTACAACTTGTAATTGAAGTAAAACTTGAAAAAAAAAATTTTTTTGAAGGACCACTAATACTGTTCAATTTATTTGGGTTGGTAAACTTTTTGTTGAGTCTTTTCTGGTAATATATGTATACATGATAGGTTAGATAAGTACTAGTTGTATTAATCCATCAGAAAAATCCTTAGTACGATCATATGATCGGTGTTTTAAATAAGATTGCGGAGTCACTAATTTCATAATTAATATAATCCAAATATAACTGTGTAGTCCTTATTCGTTCAAATGGGGCTATTTCACTGATCAAAGGCCAACAAATAGACTCGTCATGTAGTTGATCCAAACCAACATAAAATTCCTACGTTTTAATTACGATTAATATATAAATCCTATTCAAAGACAAAATGGAGAACAACAAAAGAAGTGTTTACCTGGGCGTAAAAGCAACCTGAGATGATAGTTATATATGTTATGATGGATATTAACATCGTCGTCCACAGATTGAAAAAAAAAAAAAAAAAAAGATAATACCGAACGTAATTATGCATGTATATTTTTTTCTGTAGAATCCAAACCTTACTCCATGACAGAAAGAAAATTTTCCCGTCAAATGGCTTCAGGACAAATTACACGTTCTGTCCATGTCTTTCTTGAGAAAATGGTTTCCCTGTTTCACGGCTGTGATAGTTGCGCAGAAGACATGGATGCATGACATACAGCAAAGTTTCCATTTTGATGTTTCTTTCATTCAATCCAATCTTCAAGCAATTTCTTGTGTTCTACTCCTTGAATTATGTTAATTCAAGTTGGTTTCGAGCGCTTGGCCAATTGCTTTATCGACTTTTATTTCTTCTATTGCTACCTTTTACATAATTCACAAGTACAAGCCAAACGAAAAACAATCACATATAATTTAGGATTATATTAATTATCAGTGTAAAAAAGATTTATCCTTATATTAAACTTTTTTATTAAGATATTTAAAAAAAAAAAATTGTATTGTATTCTCTTCACAAATTCAGAAGTCCTCTGCTTGAATGAATTTGACGGGGGAGGTGCAAGCGGTTGTTAGCAGGACGGTAGAAGATATTGAGCTCAAAATCCTATATTGACTAAAACTTTCTGGAAACTCTACCCATCACTATAAAATTAATGCAAAAAGCAAGAAACTAATGTTGGGTGAAATACATAAATCTTCGATGTTGATATCATAGCAAAGTTGTCAATTCCATCTTTATCGCTTCTAGAGATTTTCTTAGTTTCCTTCATTCAATTCCTCCCATTACTCAAATTTGGGTTTAATATTCTGGCAGCAGCAAAAATAAAATGGGTCCAGTTTTATTTTAGTCGGAGGGAAAACTAGTCATCGTTTTCTAGATATCTTGCGGAAACACCGGAACCGCCCAAAGAGTCCTTTTTCTTTTTTTCTTTTTTTTTTTTTTTTCCCTTTTTGAAAGGCACGAGACCTCAAAAACTGAATGAGGATTAGATTGATAAATAACTAATAATAAAAAAAATTAATCCATAAATTGATACTAATAGTGAATTCTCTATTGTTCTAGATTTTGTTAAAATTGATCAATCACAATCAGCAAATTAAAGTTACTTTTGATAGATACTAAATTTCAGCTTTTTTTTTTCTATTCAAAAAATTTAACATTGAAATTTCAGAAAATGTGAACATAAAACTACTCATTTTCAAAATCAGAGTGTAAAAGGAGGTGAATTGATCAAAAGAAAAGACCCCTTGCTATTGGCGGGTTGGGACTGCTTTCCACCTTGATGGATTTCTTTGGGTATTTGCGTTCTTCTAATGCATTTGATGTCATACGTGTTAAAAGACTTAGGAGTCATGTTCAAATGGCGGATGAATCATGTGGGAAGATTCCATCATTCCTGTTCTACACCCAGTAATAGCAAGAAAATATATGTTTAATTAGGACTAAAATTCTTTACCGCGTATTTGAAAATATTTGTATTTGAGTAAGGTTTTGCAGAACTACAGTTCAGTCCTATGACCTAACGCTCTTCTTCTCCCTTTTTCTTTTTCCCCCTCCAGCTAGATTTGAAGTTGGAATTGTCAATGTTCCGCCTATAATAAGCGATTCTAAACCACGATATTCCTAAACAGAAGACACAAATATGAAAATCCTTATAATCAAGGAGGCGTGTTTGTTTTCTGTCGCTTAAAATAGGATTTTCCTTGTATTTTATACGGATCAAATGCCCTCCTCGTGTAACACTTCATAATCATTATAAAAACGTTAACAAGCTCGTGAAGATTGAGAATATAATTTTGATATGATTCCAGAGAGAAACAAAAAAAAAAAAAAAAAAAAAAAAAAAAGGAACAAGGTTCTAGAGTATTACATCATCCTTCCAAATGTTTCTTTCTAGCGTAGTTTTCGCTGATTTTTCCATTTCTCTGGATAAGTACATCTTTTTTCTTGCTGCATGCACAATATACGACGATTCATTTAAGTTAGTGGACTTTAGCTCTCATAGATTGTGATGATAATTAACAATACGTGGAAGTTTGATAAGTTCAGACTCGGGAGCGGCAGGTGGGAAAACCTTTGCTGTGGTTGACGCCCACAATTTTAAAGCATTTCCTATGATCTCGTAACACAAAGCAATCTTTAAAAACAGAGGAAAGCAACAGATCACAGACAGCCCAGAAATGCCTGCATAATTCGTAACCAAAATGGGAATCCATGCGTTGTACAGACGACAGCAACAGCACAACACAGCGCTCACATTCACATGTTTTTATCAGACATGGTGAGTCCCCCCAGGCAGCTATTTTTCTCTTTGTCTGGTATTGGATTGAGAGGCCCCACGAGACAAAACTCCTTTATGTGTTCTGTTTGGTTTGGTACCAACTACCAGATGCTTTAGAACATGAAGAAGCTTGATGACTAAGTAAAGATAAGAGGAAAACAACATCTGATTTGCCAGTGAAGCTATGTATCTCAAAATGGAAACTATTTCTTGGCCACCGGTATGGAATAGAAGTTAAAACAGAATGCGAATATGAAAATCAAAGAAAGAAATCACAAAGCAATGTTCATGAAATTTAGTTGCTTCGTGTCTACTGGAACCCTATAACAAATTTATGCATCTGCGTTTAATTAGTGTTTCAAGAATGCTTCTAATCTACTTTAGGTCTTAAGTTATATGTAGAGGCTTTTAGTTATGATTTGGGAGAGAATTATATAGCACAAAGATCCAGTTTGTATGTATTCAGCAGCAAGTATAGATGCATTGCCGTTTTTCTTGACAGCAGAAAATTTTCCGTAAGACTCAATCCGGACTCTGGAAGATGGATTACGATACTTTGTCTGTATTTCGTGGATTTTTTTGTAGAACATTTTCTTAATGATGTTCACTCTGTAATGTCGAATTACTTCTGTATGTCGAATCACTATGTAATGATCTTCCTTTTCCTTGTCCTCAAAAGATGCCTGTTCTGTCCTGAAGAGCATTATTTGCTTGTCAACTTGAATTTACCTCGCAACAATTTCCCAATGAACGGGTAAATTAGAGCATTTACGAATAAAGGAAGACGTAGGACCAGCGTGTTGATGAAAAGCATTCACATGATCGATACAAATATGAAATACTCGAGATAACAATCTTTCTGGGACCATTTGGAAGAAAAAGGAAACGACCAGTGGAGTAATTTCACCCTGCTGCTGCTATCATTATAGCACCTCATCCAACAGGCCTTTTACTGAAAGCTACTTTGTATTCTTGAAATCATTTCAGCAATCTTTTTTCACTCCAATTCAATCATCCTACCAGCATTAGTTGTTTAATACTGGACCACTGATACCTGTCTCTCGGCATTCAAGGGCATTATGAGAAGACCTATGGTTTTTAAGAGAGAGACCCCTGACGTTACAAAATATAGTCCTTTGAGAAGCCTCAAGGAGATCACAAGTCAGTTGACAGTTTTTAAGGGAAACCAGATATGCTACATATCAGACACTTAGAAAAAGAGAACTTGGATCAACAAGCTGAGGGCTACATAAACTTACAGTGAGGAAGAGGAAAATGGAATGAACAGGAGAAATCAATCACCACTCGGTACTATTGTTGGAAATTGTGATCAATCACCTACCATCAGCAGATGTAAATGATTCGGCAAATCCATATGGTCGGGTAGGTATGCTAGTCTGAGTGTTGTCCAAGCTTGGATGGTAGGAAGAAGAAGACGAGTCCATATGGCTTCTGCCTTCCGCTTGCCACTTCTTTAGGGCTTGTGGCAGAGACATTTCAAGGTCAATGCCATATATGTCCTCTGTATTCTGAGCAGCTGGTCTCCAAAGCTCTACTAGAGAAGATAATACATTGACAGCATGCCCCATTTCAGGCCTTTGATATGGTTCCCTTGCACAGCAGTGGCCTGCAAGCTCTGCAACAGTGCTGATGCTGGCTAGTGTTTCCTCATCGAGGTCAATGGATGGGTCAATTGCTTTTCGAAACATGTCCTTGTTAAGCTGTGCTCTTCGGAACCATGTAACAAGGTGCACACTTTCCTCAGGTTGGCTGTCATCAAGAGCCTTTCTTCCTGTGATCAGTTCCATTAAGATCACGCCGAAACTGAAGACATCGACTTTAGTGGTCACTCTCCCAGTCACTGGCAAAGGCATGAAACAGGAAGGCAAGTTAATCCATCAAATGGACTTGACCAAGTGGTTGCATCAACTTACTGATAATCAAGAGCAGTAAAAGACAATAATTGTACAAAAGGATGCTCAACATGAGGCCCAGGCATAATCAGTCTGGCAGTGATAGAGTGCTTGTGATAGTGCTAGAAATACTAAGATTTTATTCTCTGGCTTGACATGAGCTCAAGATTCTACCCTCTTGCTTGTCATAAGATTAAGACTCTCCTCTTGCAGTCAAATAAGAGCCTTAGCACTCAACCTACAAATTCAAGAAGTTTCATGCTGTTCTACCCTGAGTTTATGCTATATTCTACTTGATAAAAAGAATTCTTGCTCTCCAGTTGGAAGACTAAGCAGATTTATGCAAAGGATACTCTCTCTGAGAGCAGAATTTGAGAGTAACAAGTCCTACGGAAGTATAATTTCTATGCTAGCTGATTCCTTGAAAGGCATTGAGACCAGGCCCATGGTAGTTCGATGAGATTAAAATGGAAGTTTTGATAATCATGACAAACAATAAGATAGTTTTTTGCTTTCAAGAAGTTATTCTTGTTATAGTTTTAGAATAATGGATGATAGTACAGATAGCAGGAGACAATGTTTATGCAGTTCGGTGCATGGACAGACTTAATTACTCAAGAAACTGAACAATCAACTTCTGGTGTCACATGGTTCAAGCGACAGTTAGAATGTCATACAAAATTCTAGAATAGAAAAGAAAAAATTGATACTTAAACAGAAGTTATAGTGCAGTTGCATAATATCAGCAACTAACCAGGGAGAAATTTTACCTGCATATTCGGGTGCCAGATATCCAAATGTTCCAGCAATTCTTGTTTCAATAGAGCCCTTTCCTTCTGGAGCCAGACGCACAAGTCCAAAATCACCAACTTTGGCCCTCATATCATCTCCAAGTAGAATATTGGAAGGCTTTAGGTCCCTGTGTATGAAGCTTTGATGGGCTAGACCATGTAGGTACTCAACTCCTCGAGCAACATCCAGAGCGATAATTAACCTCTTAGTCCATCCTAGTGGTTTCAATCCTTCATTTGCCCAGTTGAAAAGATGCCTACTTAATGTACCTTGAGGCATGTATTCATAAACAAGGAGTTTCTCATTTCCATCAAGACAGTATGCTTAAATACAAAAAATATCCCCTCTCAAAAACCCACCAGAGAAAAAGGAAATTTGCAAGTTCTTTTAATGCTTGTTAAAGAAAATCCAAGGAAAAGAACCAGAACCATGTACCTGTACTTGCATGGCTGTGCCATAGAGTAACTCTTCATGCTCAATAAGACGCTGATGGAGAATACAGTAATGATCTGTATCAAGATTCACTACTGGCTCCATTTGAACTTGCAGGCCGGCCAGTTGTGTTACAACATAGGAAGCCATAATTTGTCCAAATATTGCAGGTATGGTTCCCAGAACAGGAATGATGCGAACCCTGAAACCTGGAACAACCTAACATCCCAACGCCGAAGTTAAATTGTCGAATAAAAATCTGCACCTCTTGTGAGAGTAAGCATAAGGTTGAGGGTGGAAAGGGTGTGGAGAGGGGGTGAGAGGGTTTAAAAAAAAAAAAACTTAGGTTACATGCACAAATTTGTAAAAACTTCTAAAGTGAATTCTATAGGGACCATTATCCACGAATTAGCTCAGCCTACCAATTGCAATTCTAATTTCCAACCGACTCAATACTACAATATTACTTCCTCATCTACCTCTGTCGTCACCAGTCCCTCACTCTCTTTACATCAGTAGCAAGTATTCTTACTTGGTAATCTGAAGGATTTTCTTCTTCGCCACTAGGCCCTTTAAAAGGAAGCAACTTTGCCTTGGGTTTCTCTAAAGAGAAAACAACAGGAATGCCACCATCAATACCATAGTCCTTCCTCAGTCGATGTCTCACCTGCAAACCAGTATTTCTTAAGAGCTATTCTCACCAAAAAACATGTATATCCAAACACGCTTGGAAACAAAATTTATAGATGGCCAACTTCCATATTGCAACTGTATGCCTACAACAACAATGGATCAAAATGCATGATAAATATTCAACAGAAGTGTAGATAAGCAAACTCCAAAACACAGTAAGATTCAATCTTAATACTCATTTATAGAATGATTCATATAACTCCAAGATCTTCAATGGTCAATACGTGTAAGCTTCTAAGAAGACCAAATAAAGAAGGTCCAAATAAAAATGGTTCACCATGTGCCAAATTCAGTAGAGAAGAAGCCTAACAGCATTACTAGTCTAAATTTCCCAATTGAATTCTACCAGAAGTATGCATTTCTCAGCCACACAATTTAACCATACAAAGTACATAAAGTACTCTTCCTAGTCAAAAAAATGATGTCCAGTTTTAGATGAACAAAATACTTGTATGCAACATATTATACATAGACCTAAAGTGCAACACCAAATCCAAAAGGCAAATCAATTACCGATCGGGATAACGGATCATTTGTTGACTCTCTTAAGTCTGCTACACGGATTCTTGTTGGATCAGCTCTTGCACCAGCTCCTGTGGCAGAAAGAACTTTTAAACCTCTACGTACACAGGCAGCAAGAAGTGCAACCTGTATCACACGGAAACTAAAAGTTAACTTTTGTACATCAAAATCTCAAATTTGACTAGACTAACGATTACTACAATTATTCAGTCTTAGATGTTGGCAACAGAAGTAGGGCAGGGGCAGATGAAAACTTTTCATTGATTGAGAAGGACAAAGTTGATATTCTGCCCGTGAGAGAGGATAAGTCAGGTTCATTTTAGTCCATGAATGAATGGAAAACTGATGCACAATTTCTACATAACTTTTTGATGGGAAAAATTTATAATCTATTGGTCAAATTATACAGGGTAGAATGATGCTATCATTTCATTTAACTGAGAATCCTTACCAACATATATCATGTCATTTAGACATGAGTTTAGGGTGTACCAGAACTTCCCCAGGTTAAGGATCTTATACAAAATAAAGAGAATCAATGTATTAAACATACAATTCTTCCAGAAGTTGATAGAAATTTACATTCAAGCCAGAACTTCTTGCAAAAGAAACGTTAGTCAAAACAATAACTAGTCAAGCAGGGATCCATAAGCTGGTAAGAACATACTTCCACACTGTGTTGGGAAGTGTTTTAAAAGTTTAGCAAACAAAAAGCACTAGAAGTTACCTTAGCGTCAATATTGTCAATGCAATCCAAAACAAAATCAGGGTTGCCTGAAAGAATTTCTTCTTCAGAGGATGAATCATATAGCAGGACCTTTGCATTTACATGACACTCGGGGAAAATGGACTGAAAATGCTTCTTAAGGCATAAAGCTTTTGGAGTACCAACATCCTCTCTTGTTGCTACAGCATGCCGGTTCAATGACGAAACTGATACCTACACAAAATAGCTTTAAAAGTAAAAGCATTATACATACATATATATATATATATAGAAAATGTACTTTGATAATATATAAAAAAAATCCAAAAAAAGTCCCTTCAAGCTAAATTTAGACGAAAACATTCAAATAGCCAATTTTAAAACTTGACCATTTAGGATAAAGATCTCTTGAATGTTGGAAACCAGGACCCAAGCTGGAACAAAAGTTGTACAGGTAGGTAATCCAGTAAGGGAAGAATTGAAAAACAGCCTAGCCTAGAAACTAAACAAAACAAAAGGGCTCAAAACCATATATCCAGTTTTCAAACACTTCCATCTTTTCAAACTTGAGCCCTCAACCTGATCGAAAAGGCATCTGAAAAGCACCCGAGAAGGCTTTGGGATTCAGAACTTGATAGTCATATGAAATCATAGCTTCGCTGCTTTCCATTTCTCTTTGAAAATATTCTTTTAATATCTGGATCCGGTGTTAAAGTGGAGGAAGCATGGTCATTTCCATCCTTAAGATCTCTGCTAGCTTAACTTCCTACAATTGGGTGTAGCACCTTTTGCCTATGGTTGATTATCATTGCTCAATTAGTGGATTTGTTATGATGTTCATTTTAAAGTAAATCAATTCAATATATTCAATAAATTTAAATCCTCTGTATTAGTAAATATCTTCAAGTTTACTAGATTTTAATTGTTACTCATATGCAATTAGATCAAGTTTAACATTATTGTAACAATCACCAAAGAAAGAAAATTAAATCTTATAAATGTTTTGGATATGAAATCTGGAAGTTTTCGATTTAAACAGGTAAGTAAATTATATTTAAACAGGTAAAGTGCTGATCAGCCAAAATGGAATTGAGATGATTAAACAGAGAAAATACAGAGTAAAAGAAAACACTCCATAAGTAAAATTAAACACCAATAAGTGAAGAAGCATACAGTCGAACATTGTACACAACTAAGGATGGCATTTCAACAAGAAGGTACCTGGTCAAAGTCCACCAGAAGCAGTCGCCCAACCCCAGACCTCAAAAGCATAGAGGCAGCATGACTTCCAACTCCACCAAGTCCAATTACCACCACATATGATTGAGTGACTTTCTCTTGGGACTCTAGGCCAAAGAACTGAATGTTCCTAACGAGAACACAAAAGAACAGGCCATTAGCATCAGATCATTATTTCAAATCACAAATTTGAATAGCTCTAGAGTTGAAAGGTGCCTCCTACTTCCCAGTAGTTGAAACAATAATCCAGAAGACAAACAAAAAAAAAAGCACTCAAAGTGCAAGGGTTTGAAAAGGGGAACGAAAAGTTTTAAACACATAACAACAGCTAGAATGCAATGTCTGACTAACCACAAAAAGGAGTTACGTGGTTGTAATAAGAAAAGTCCTACATAAGATTCTTCAGTTAGTAATGAGCTGCTCAGGGAAAAAATTTTTTTTGCGAGTTAAAAGCCCAACTGTACCTAGTAAGGTGCTCAGAAACTACTTCATCAGCTAGCAGGTCTGGATTTCCAACCCCCCGATCCACAACCGCAGGATAGTTATAATGTTTCGTACCTGACACAAATGTCAACATTGTATCTGTTACTCAAGTAGAAGTGTGTGTGTGTGTGTGTGTGTGTGTGTATAACCCATGAGAAAACTTCAAAAAGTACAATTTAACAATAATATTAATGATGATCACAATAATAAAGAGAGCTAGAACAGAAATACCGCCATTCGTTTTGGCTGCTTCCCTTATGCACTCGTTTTTCATTCTTCTGCACCCCAAAAAAAAAAAAAACACAGAGAACAGTAGAAATTAATGCTTTAGGTAACTGTGAAAATGTTGTTTAAGTATGAAGAGTTATGCATGGTAAGGAACCTAGGAAGAAGCTTGAGAACAGCCACGGTAGCAGCAGAACCCAACAGAGCTCCGGCGCCGATCATAGCCAAGAATTTCACTCTTTCTTCCATCTTTCTCCGATTTTTTTCCGGTTAAATCAAATCGGGCGGCGGGGGTTTAAAGTTAACGTCTGCAAGTCCCACTTCTGCTAGAAACGCTGTCGTATAGAGCTCAATTTCGACTATCAACAGTCTGTCTGTCGAAGTACAACTGAAAGAATTTTCTCAGCATGGTTTTGGCAAGCCCAATGCTTGACCCGTTTAAGAAATCCATAGTAGAGCCCAAACTAAACTCCCGTTGTAGTGCGGATTTAACCCAATATAACTGCTTACTACGCATGGGCTGGTAAAGGATGCAGCAGCTACAGAAATCATGTGGCTGTAAAGTCCCTAATTGAAATTCTTCATGTGGCGGGATGAGTCTGCGGAGGCAGTTACGAGAGTCGCTGCCCTTATTTAGTTTGTAATATTCTTGTATTTTCAATTGCTATTAATGAAATTCTACCGTTCGGGTAATAAAGAAAGAAAAAGTGATGTTTTTATTTTGGCTCTCGAATTTTTCCCTCTATTTCGACCCCTTTTTCCCTTCCCTTATTTAGGATTAGAGTTTAAAAAACAAAAAAAAGTTATGCCCGTAAACGTTGTTACTATGCTAATTATTAAAAGGAACAATACAATTGGTCTATTTGGATTAAATATTATTTGCAAAAAAAGTTTTCAGAATAGTACTATTTGAAATTTTGTGGATGTGAGGTGTAAAAGTCATTGAAAACATAAAAGGATTAAGAAATGTATTTATGACACAACAGAATAATTTTCACTAGATTTAAATATTTTCATACAATTACCATAGGGCGCCAAAAGTTTTATTTTCTTGTTTTACACTTAGGATTTGGCTAACAAGTGTCCATTGAATCCTCATTAATGGAGTCCTCACATGTTAATTTTGTGTGATAGTGAAGTTAATTCGAGAAAGTATGGAAATGCAAAGAGACAATAGATATGAATATGCACTTTTACATAGTAAGTTAAGTGTGATTTAAATGTACTAACCAGGTACTCGTTAGAAATTTTCTTAAACTTAATCACCTATATAGTTTCCAATATTTGGTTATTTAGTTGTACTAGAGTTCTTCTTAGGCCTTGGATGTTATCAAAAAGCATAAAATTCATCAATTGTGCAATCTCAAAATTCTAGGTGCTAATCACAAAATTATAATCTAAAAACGAAAAAGAAAAATTTTGTCAAACTATCATGATTTAACCTTCTCTGCGCACTTCGTTTAAACATACCATTCACATAAGGTTCTCCAGTTGCGTGCAATTGAAATGGTACATTATGCTGAACCTATGCAGCAAAGCCATGATCTTATCTGGTGAAAGGGAATCTACGCATCTAAAACCTCTTCTGATTTCGTTGTTTATGTTATCTTGCAGGAAATCTACTAATTTACTATGTATGTTTTAGCTCGACTCGAACTTGACTCGACGTATATAGTTGAGCTCACTTGTTTGGTTACCTAAAAATTTCGATAAGAGATGCCAAGTCGTCTGATTAGTTCCAGTGATGACTGATGAACAGAATCTCATAGTATTGTTGTATAGCTATTTTGCAATGCCGTTCTGCTGACAGGCGGTAGAGTCTGATTCCACCAATGAAGAAGTGCTTGTCCCGGATGGTGATTAAGCATGACTCAATGCTTTGTCATTTCCCAGCTTCTTTAATTTGATTACGTTCTACTTAACCACACTTAGCATATAAATTAGTTCAATTTGCGACAATTAATTAAAATAACTTTACACGCTGTTTAAATTACTGGCCACCAAGTTCCTTCAAGGACCAGGAACTTTTTTTTTCATTAAAATGAAAAAAAAAAAAAAGAACCCCAGGAACCCTGAGACCACTAGTATATGCTATATTTTTTAATTTACATTGCTTAAACTAAACTGAAGTGGGAAAATGCTGTTTTTTATCCCCTGCCAATTGTTAAAACTTAAATTATCTGCATGCAGAGGATAAGCTTAAGCCCAACAAAAGGGTTCTCCAGCTGGCTCATTGGGGAGATGACAATTTTGTGGAGTGAAAAGGCAGTGGGCAGTGAAAAGGCAAAAAGGGCCCTTTAGTGCCCAAGGACAACGATAGAACTAGAGAAAAGAACAAAACTGAATGACAGAAGCTCTCCTACTGTGCTAAATGCACATTGTAAAGCATCAAGCAAGTGCTCACCTATATACACTTTTGTTCAATCAATACAATCCAATCGTTTCAATAAAAAAAAAAAAAAAAAATGACAGAAGCTCTCACTTCGGCAATTACTGGCGAAGCTAAGGGCCAGCAAATCCAAGGACACGAAACTCTATTCTCACTTAGTGTCTGTTTGATAACATAAAAAAGTGTTGAAACTGAATTCATTCAAACATTCAGATGTTTTGAGTGTTTGATAAATAAAAATTTTTCTGCTGAACTTATTAAGTGGTGCTGAATTTGTATGTATTTTTTTCAGCACAAGAATTGTAACTGAATGCTTAATTTGATAAGAAACAAGAGATTTACTTCAACTACTTTATCTTATCTACCAAATCTATCCTTGTTTGTTAATTACATTCAAAATCCTTATTGAATTAAACAATTTAATATTTTCTATCCAAAATCCTTATCTAATTAAACAACCTGACATTCTCTGTCTAATGGCTTTCTACTTATATTTTCTCCTTATTTAATGATTTTTTTTACAATTTCTCCATGCTCCTCACATTTGTCTACTCCTTATCTTTTTCTATCTTTCTACTCTTTCATAATTTTGTCATTTTTTTACTCCCAATTTTTTTTATTGCTATTGTACTCACCGATCTCAAATTCATTTTTTCCAAGGTAAGTGACATTGATTATTTGTTGTTTTGCTTCAACATTTTTCCATTGAAGTAATTAAATTTCTATATAATTTGGTGTGAATTTAAAACTTGTTTATTGCAGCTTCCTTTTGCTTATATTTAGACTTTTCTTATCAAACTCTGATTTAAAAATATATTTGCACCGATATTTGGACTTTTCCATAATATATTTCTTCTTTTATATTACTTTGATTTAAAAATAAATATTGACATTTTCATACCTAACAATTTTAAGCTAATTAAATCATATGTTCTATTTCTTTTTTGGATTGAAAGATAGAAGGGCAAAATTGTACAATTTAGTTTATTAAGCATTAAGTTATAAATGTTTATCAAACAGTATAAATATATTCAGCATTAAGATTCAGATATTCATATATCTCTTTTCAGTGCTTAATATTCAGCAAATTAATTGTTTCAGTATTCAGAATTCAGAATTCAGAGTTCAGATTCAGTTTTATCAAACGGAGCCTTAGAGGGCATCCGAAACTTATGCTCCATTGGCAAACCCGGGTACCTGGACTGGATTTGCAACGTGGCGCGCTGCATCTACTAGACCTTACTTTCATAAATATAAGGCACCATAATTATAATTTACAAAATTTTACTAAAATTTAAAACTTATAAATACTAATGAAATAGATACATTTTACTAAATTGCATCTACAAAATGCTTTACTTTAATTTTCTAGAATGTAAACATCTACCTATTTATCTCTCTCATTTTTCTTCTAAACATACACGAGTTGATTTTCTTGATCTGCAAGAAAAAATAAAGAAACGTGGTTGAGCAACGTACGCCCAATAGATAGTACTTACTCCCATGTCGGATCATGTAGTTATATACATATTATATACATTTACAAATTCGATCATACCATACCACATGCATACATCAATTAAAAACATGTCATCCCATTTCAAATATTGTATAAACATATTTCATTGAAAATGAGTGGCATGCATATAAGTGGCTTCCGTCTAACTTGGCACTTAGTTCAACAAATTCTAAAGGTGGCTTTCGCCGAACGTGGTATAGAAACACACATAATATGATACGATCGTATTCATTGAACATTTGAACATACTTGCAAGTCATAAAATATATCAATCATGTCATCTCATTTCATAAATATAGCTCACAAATAAGTACACGCAATATTCGACCTCTGAGTACTCAATCTAGAGATTAACCCTTTTAGGAGGACGATCAAGAGGTTTTGCATAAACCCCTTGACTACATAACATAACATAAGTCAATCGGCCGAACTCTACACTGACTCTCATGACTAACATAACATAACATACCAGAACTATAGCCCCTACTGTCTATTTTATGACCGTTTAGAGTTTTTTATAACATAAAATTATTTCACATGTCACATACATATTTCTTTCATTTCATGAAAATATGCCATTTATTTCATAAAATATTGCATAGCAAAACATTTCAAATAGGTAGACATAATCCATATTGCATATATCAAAATAAAGCATTTAATTGAGAAGATTCATATTTAACATTTTAGAAAATACAAAGGGATGAGTACCACCTATCTCGAACTGCTAACTTGAAGATATCCGAACATACCTTAAACTTGCTTCGAACCTATTGTCAATAACATGTATACCATAATTAGTTCTCGTGTCTTATTCTTAAAGGATTTATTTTTTTTCTCAAGTAATCCTATAAAACATGTCTAGACTTTCGATAAAATGTACTTGAATAGTTTCCTAAAAATGGAATGATTCCCCTTCTTAGAAAATTTCCTAACTTAGAAAGTTACAATTTTTTCAGAAGGTTCCTCGATTTCAAAACTTTTCTTTTTCTTTTTTTTTAAAAAAAAATTGCTTAAATTCATATATTCACAAAGAAACTTTATATTCTAGTATAAACGGCCCTACATTAATTAATTTAGACTGAATTTGAGTTTCGACTTGGACTTAGAGTTAAGTCCATTCATGCAAAATGTTTTGTTCAAATTTACATTTGGGTTCACGATTCACTTGGGTACTTAAAAGAGTTTTTGAATTCATTGAAACAAAACTGAGTCTTTAAAATATTGTTGGACTTTCAAAATAAATTCTTTAGGGAGTCTAATTAAGTTTGGGTCATTACAATAGATTTGGATTTTTTTAAAAAATAATCTAATTTATGAAATTGACTTGCTCTACTTCACTACATTATTATATTTTGTTGGGTTACTTCTAAAACACTTTGGACTTGATTTAACCGATAGAACTAGTT